ATCTTGGAATGACTGTGATTCTGTTTATCAAACACAGTAAAGTTGGCACACTAGGTAAGAGCATGGTCAATCATGTACACTGTGACCCATTGATACGTCATGAAATTAACTTAGTTCCACAACCAGATCATTAAAAAAAACACACAGAATAAAATGGGGTAGAAAATATCAGAAGCAATCACTCTAGTAGGAGAAAGGTCATTTCAGTAAGCTTTTGTTTCAATCACATATCTGTGTACAACTTACTAGATAATGATATAACTGGATGATGTATCTTATAAAGTTCCAAAGCTTTTACATGAGATCACCTATTGGCATCACCTAGAAAAATCTAGGTGACAAATAATTGCAGTGTTTCGGCACAGTAGCCAAAGCTCATACACGTATACAAAACCCAGTGTTTCATAGTGTGTCCCACGAAAAACCCAGTTTAGAATGTCTTGAGATGCAAAGTCTCACTTCAGAACTACTCTGTGATAGTCCCTAGAGTTCATCTTAGCCATCTTCAGCTGTAATAAGCACCTGTGGGGTTTTCCTTATGCAAAGTCTGAGGTATTACCTGTCTACCCATGTAGTCCTGGACTCTCTCCCTTTTCCCTTTTTTGTCTACCTACAGGAAGTCATAATGATCCTATATTATATCCCACCATACAGTAGGCTAGCAAAGGCCACCCTACAATGCATACTTCTGAACCAAGCATCATGCCCAGGAGGCAGGTGGCCAGCCCCACAATGCCTGCATCTGGCTGTGTGGGCTGACCACAGGAACTGATAACTCTGCAGTGTATCTGTGCAAATAATACTTGAAATAAATGTTCAGGAGTGTGACTGACAACTTGAAGTCTTTCTACCTCTTAGGAATTGCATGACATCCTTCACCCGTGCCGTTTTGCTGTGCGCAGAATCTGATAGGTTTCTGCAGTCTCTGGTTCCTGGGTAAGACAAGCTGTCAGCATGGGCATGACATGATGGAGCTGTGGTTACCCAGACCCCAATGTTTACCCAGGACAGCATGTGCCTGTCAGCCCAAACCTGCGAAAATTACGACAAATAGCCCACATCTTACCTGAATCCTGACAGACATATAAAGAGTTGCTTAAAGGACTTTTAGTGGCTATGATCCATCCCCAGGCAGAAAATTATTTATTCTTTGCATTAATACTTGCTGCTGCTGTACATGTATATCTCCTACAGCTTCCCTTGGAAATCAATTTCAATAATTTATCTCTGTACATTAAATACATATGTTTGTAAAGTACACATACACACACATATATATACACAAACACATACACACATATGTATTTACTTTACACATACATATATATATACATACACATACACATACACCACCAAACTATATATTTTTTTAGTTTACTTTTCTCTGATGAAAATATTAAAATACCAATGAACAGTATACTTCACATCAATGCTTCAAATACAGACATGCATGATATAGTGACAGGATATGTTCTGAGAAATTTATCATTAAGCAATTTCATCACTGTTCAAACATCATAGAGTACACTTACACAAGCCTAGATGCTGCAGCCTACTACACACCCAGGCTATATGGCAGAGCCTATTATTGCTAGGCTACAAACCTGCACAGCATGTGACTATACTGAGTACTGTAGGCAACTGCAATGCAATGGCAAGTATTTGTGTATCTAGACATATGTACACATAAAAAAAAGTACAGGAAAAATACAGTAGAAAAGATACAAACGTAGCCAGGTGCAGTGGCTCACACCTGTAATCCCAGCACTTTGGGAGGCCGAGTCAGGTGGTCATTTGAGGTCAGGAGTTGGAGACCAGTCTGGCCAACATGGTGAAACCCTGTTTCTACTAAAAATACAAAAATTAGCTGGGTATGGTGGTGGGCATCTATAATCCAACCTACTTGGGAGGCTGAGGCAGGAAAATTGCTTAAACCCGGGAGGTGGAGACTGCAGTGAGCTGAGATCATGCCACTGCACTCTAGCTTGGGCAATAGAGCGACACTCAGTCTCAAAAAAAAAAAAAAAAAAAAAAAAGATACAAACATACACCTGTATAGGGCAGCTCCATTATAATCTCATGGGACCACTGTCATATATGCGGTCGATTGCTGACCAAAATGTCATTATGTGGAGCATGTCTGCAATCCAAATTTTGTAATAAATTAGTCCCTTTAGTTTACACTTATCTATAAATTTATACAAATTCCTTCAACCTCTACTCACACAGCTGTAATATCAAATAATTCTTTCTTAAAATTCCAGGGCTCGTGTTGATTTTTATCCTTGTGTGCCTACCTTTTGTACTTACAAATGCCTGTTAAATATTAATTTGCCTAGAGTCGGCACTAAGTAGATGTTTGCTCACACGTTCTTTCATTCTTTTGTTGCAGAGTCTGCCCTTTCTCTCCAGCTGTTCATGAGCTTTCCATGGGGCTTTATTAAATGTCAGCAGTTTCCAAATGCAGTCCTCTGTTCCAGGTTAACCCAAGTACTGCAACTTTTATGCCTCTGACACACTTAGATTCTCATAAAATTTCATCTGAAATATTCCTCAGCTTTAAAACAAATTTGAAAATCACTGCCTGCAGTGGAAAAATCACTGCTATGTGTTCAGTAAGGCCAATTTCATTTTCTTCTTCCTGAACATATGGGGAGACTGCCTCTTAGCACCATGTCAGGTCAGGGTGGAGACGTAGATGTAGAGCCTGTCCTACATGCTGACCCCTGGGTGGAAGTGATAAGCATCCCTTCCACAGTGAAGTAAGGAAAAGCCCCCAAGTGACCCTTCAACTCTTTTCTCCTGTGGATGCTATTGGGAAGGCTATCTATTGAGATGACAGAGCCACAGATATTAGCAACCTGGATCCCTGAGTCTCCTCATGGAGCAAAGCTTCCCTAGAGAATCACCCAACCAGCAATAGATTTTTCATGGCCAAGAAACAAACTTTCAAGTGTTAATCCACTGAGATTTTCTCAGTCTTCACTGACAAACACAGAAACTAGCCACAGACATGGGATGCTAACCAAAATAAAAGCTTATATTGTGTGGTGCTCTCTGGCGGCTAGTACATAGACTACTCTCTGGGGCCAAGTCCCTGGGGCTAAAACTGAGAATAGTTACAATGACCAATGACCAGTTTATATATTTCAAAGTAAAATGAGAATTTTAATTAATAAAATCTATTGAAACTGATAGGTGATGTGAACTGTAAGAACTAATCATTCTACTTTTGTCTCATTTTTAGAGGGAGGAAGTAATACTATCAATTGCAATTTTTGTGTAAGTCACTTCAGAGTCTGTTCAGACACCCAAACCATATGTGGGTTTCTGTTAGAGTTGATGAAACACTTGTGTAATACCAGAGAGGTATAATAAAACACACCCTATGATTTATCTATTGCATAATCAATGATGTTGTGGGTACCAGGACACTGTTGTACCTCCAAGTGAATGGGTTGCCCCTACGCTGTTTCATACCTGAAGAAGAAGAAGAGAGTGAGGAGAACCACTGCCCACTCCCAACCTCCAGTAAAGCACAAACTCCATGTACACAAGATATGGACAGTGGAATACAACAACTACATGAGGATATGACAACATAATTTTCATAGAGTAATTTTCATCTTTTACCTTTCTCACCAGCCCTAACTTATGTAGTTTCTACATACCTTAGCTATGTATTTTCTTCTTAGGCTGAGTATATTTGCTTGTTTTTTAAATTAAATCCCTAATATACTTTCCCTTCATCACCATAACTTCCTTTTCACTGTCATTCATTGTTCAATCCAGAGATTGACTTTACAATTTTGTGTCATGCAATTAATTTGATGACAAACCAATATTACCTATGTTTCCTCTCTCTCCTTTATAATCTTTAAATCACCCCCAAAACTCTCTTTTAAATCTTCCATAGAGTTTAAGTCACTGTAAAGACCAAAGGTCTGATCTGCAGAGGAAAGTTCTGATTTTCATTTCTCTTTGAAATCCTGTCCTCCACAGTTACAAGTGGAACAAAATACTTTTATTTCCTTTTTTTGAATGGCAAATATTCTTGATACAGCCTCAATATAATATCTACTTAATTATATCTATGCTCTCCATATTATGTATTATAAATATATATTAAACCTACTTATATAATTCAGGTGACGGTTATTTCATTTAAAGACTGCAATCCCCAAAACTACAAACTCAATGGGACCCGACAGACCCAAAAGACGTCATTCACTTCACCTAGTTTATTTACAGAGGTTTTTATTTTGTTTTGTTTGCTCAGAGATTGGCCCAAAATATTTTGGATCTTTCCACATCGTTTATATCACAAGGACAACCTCTAAATTAAACATAAACCATTATCTTGCATTATCTTGATGGTCACATTTGAAGATTAAAGACCATCAGGGCTGGGCATGGTGGCTCACACCTGTAATCCCAGCACTTTGGGAGGCTGAGGCAGGTGGATAACCTCAGGTCAGGAGTTCAAAGCAGCCTGGCCAAGTTGGTGAAACACTGTCTCTACTAAAAATAGAAAAAAAATAGCCAGGCATGGTGGCGGGTGCCTGTAATCCCAGCTACTCAGGAGGCTGAGACAGAAGAATTGCTTCAACCTGGGAGCCGGAGGTTGCAGTGAGCCGAGATCATGCCACTTGCACTCCAGCCTGGGTGACACAGTGAGACTCCATCTTAAAAAAAAAAAAAAAAAAAAAAAAAAAAAAAAAAAAAAAAGACCAGTGTGATATCTGACACCTCCTTTGTCATCAGCAGACATAATTTTGCCATGGCCTTTCTAGCCCAAGATGTGGGAAATGTTGGCAAAGAGACTCTAAGGAGAGCACACTGCATTGCAATACCTTTCTAAGGCCACTAAACATGTGCTATGTAGAGCTCTGGCTGAAGAAATGTGAAGAAATAATAACCCTGCTGGTTCTCCCATCTCCATGAGAAATAACCCAGAATGTTTTTCAACAGGCAGCATCAGAAGACAAGGTAATACCTACCGCTGTATAAACTGGGCCGCCTCTGCCGTTAGCCTCTGCGTGAGATTGTCATAGGACATGGGCTGCTGGGTGATCTCGTAGTTCCTCATCAAGAAGCAGTTCAGGGGCCGGAAGTAATGAAGGAAGCCCAAGAAAAGGGTCAGGATCAGAGCTGCCAGGAAGAGAAGGCTGAAAAAAATGCCTAGAGGCACGCGGAGCAGCCCCAGACAACTGAGTGCAGCGAGGGTAAGGAGGGCGACCCCGATGATCTGCAGAGGGATAAAGACCAGCTTCCTGAAGCCCCTGATGAAGACGCTGCCCTCTCCGGGCTTGCAGTCTCTCAGATTGGTCAAGGAGATCCCATAAAAATAGTTGAAGCCATGATGTAAAGGGTGGTGACAGAAGTCAGTCTTGCTGTGACAGCTCATCCCAAGGTGCCATTTCCCTGAGAAGACAAATGGAACATCACTTCAGTCCCAATAAACACCCTGATTCCAACACAAGCTTCTGTTCCCACACACTGAAAAGATGGCTCTTTCTATTTTATGAAGCTAGACTTCCCGCTCATGGGACCTAGAGTTTTTCACTTTTTTTTTTTCCACAAAGACTAAGTTATTACCTACTCACACCAGACAATAAGAACTAATTTTGTGATTCCAACAAAACAAAAAAGAAAAATAAACAAAAAAACAAACCAGATAAAAATCCTTTACTCATTCTACCAAAAAATAAGAACTACTTTAGTGATTCCAAAAAAAACAAAACAAAAACACAAAAAAACCAACAGGTAAAAATCCAAAAAGAAAACTACCTAACATATTTAATAGGCAGGAAACAACACTCCACAGAAAAATACAAGATTTTTTTTCTTTTTTCTTGCCAGATGCTTTTCTGAGACATGCCCTTAAAATTAAAGTTTTAGAAGCAACTTAATTTTGTTCCTTGAATGTTAAAAGTGGAAATGAATCCTTACTTCAGAACCTACCCCTGAGGCATGAGGAAATCACACTCAGTAACTCAGCAATTATTTTAAGCACCTCTGAAATTTCTTATAAAATGTTAATTAGATCACTAAATTAATGAGTGCCTCACAAAAGAAAAAATGATAGTTTTTTTAACAAGATGTTGGAAGAAAGAGAAGGGTCATTTTGCTCCTCTGAGATTTGCTAGGATTCATTTTATGACCTGCTTAGATTAAGCTCTTGGTGCAAACAGGAAGGCATGAATCCTATCTACAGAGTAAAATCAAGTGGGTGTGTCCACCACGACAAATTCTGACATAATTTTAGTATCGGAAAGTAAAATGAAAATCTTTATCAATAGCATGGTGTGTATTGTTTTGTATGTTCTATGTATATGTTCTATGAATCTTTCATCTGTTCCATCTATCATCTATTTCATCCAATTGTCTTATTATCTATCTATCTATCCATCCATCCATCCATCCGTCCATCCATCCATCCATCCATCCTGTCTGTGTCATCTTTGTCTCTCTCCCTGCATCTATTTATCCATATCTATCTATCTATCTAATTTTTCTATCTATGTATCTATCTATGTAACTATCTAATTTTTCTATTTATCTATCTAGTTAGCTATCATCTATTTCATCCATCCATCTAATCTATCTCATCTTTCTCTCTCTCTGCATCTATCTATCATCCATCTATCTACCTATTTCTCTACCTATTATGTATCTATCCATTCATCAATGCTTTCTATCTATCCATTCATCCATCCACCCATTCATTCATTATCATTAGGTATCATCTAAGTATCTATTTATCTATACACACACACACACACACACACACACACACACACACACACACACACACCCCTAAGGCATTTGAGTAGTCCAGATAGGCTTACTGTGTTTTAACCTACAACTGACATCATTTTGCTCCCATTTAAAGTTGTGCAAAGTGTACCAGCTACGTCATTCCTAAGATAACTGTCATGATGCCCTCTCCCACTCTTTTGCTAACTATGTCCAAGTACCCCCTGTCATTCCTCAGATGCCCATACCTATTAGTGCTGTTGAATAACCTTGATCCTTCAGAAGCTTGGCAAAGGTAATCTCATTGGTGGGAAGTCCTCCCGAAGAGGCCGTGAAGAGGAAAACTCCAGGGAGGGAATGAGACGCCATTCCTGAACCAGGAAAAAAACCAACCCTTAGGAACCAGGAGATACCCGGAGGTGGGAGGCTGTCCCAAAGGAGACCACAGCCCCTGCGATGCAGATAGGAGGTTACCTGATCGGACAGGGTACCGGCCAGTCATGAAGGCTGCTCTGCTTGGTGTGCACAGGGGTGATGCTGCTAGGTGCTGAGTGAGTTTCACTCCCTCACTGGCCAACCGGTCAATATTGGGAGTCCTAGAACAAAATAATCATAGCATTTGAGATCATTTTCATTTCTTGTTCATTCATTTATTTTTGAGACAAGATCTCACTCTGTCACCCAGGCTGGAGGACAGTGGCGCGATCTTGGCTCACTGTAACCTCCACCTCCCACATTCAAGTGATTTTCCCGTCTCAGCCTTGTGAGTAGTTGGGACTACAGGCATGGGCCACCATGCCTGGCTAATTTTTGTAGTATTTGGTAGAGGCAGGGTGTCACCATGTTGGCCAGGCTGGTCTTAAACCCCTGACCTCAAGTATTCTGCCCACCTTGGCCTTCCAAAGTGCTGGGATTACAGGCATGAGCCACCCAGCCCTGTGATAATTTTCAAAATGAAACTGTGTCTGTGGCTCTTTATAGTGGGAAACTTCTCAATGAGCAAGGAAAAGTCTGGGGTTATGTAGGAGACAGAGGTGAGATGAGAGGCAGGGGGGTGGGGAAGAAGTGATATAGAACCAAGACTCAGACTACAACAAAACCATGGAGATGTGTGAACGATTCAGGTGGGACATCCCCAGAAGGTCCATTCATGCTACAGAGGGCTCTGAGCTCCTGGTCCCACTAGCCCTGAGTTAGAAGAGAGAAACCAAGTCTTCAAGATGGGATAATGCAGGGAAGAAAAGTAAGGGGTGGGTGAGGATGAGGCTTTACTCTTCTCCCATTCACATCTCCCAAGTTACCTCTATGTCACTGAAAGAGAAATGTACAGGGTCAGCCTGATTCCCCTCTTCCCAATCACAGCCAAAGGGAATCCCACAACCAGCTTTAATGAGCCCCTGACTAATTTCTGCATGCCCCCAGGTACAGGGAATAACCAGACTCCATATGACTCAACCAGTGGGCATCAACAAATAGGTTAATATGCTCCAGGGAAAAGGCACAAACACTACAGTGAAGAAATTAGATGCTGCAACTCCCACATACCCTTTGTTGGCTTATATTTTTTATGCTTCATAAATACTTATTTATGAGATCACTTGTAGAGTGATACCTTTTGCAAGATAAGCCACTCTGATGCCTTTTCCCCATGAATGGATTGGCTGATTATTTGGGGAAGTCATTTAGGAATTAGTAACTTTTAGTTTTTGGACCATACCAAGCTATACCCCACGAGTTATATACCATGTCCTCCACCAGGAATCCAGGTCCCTTCTTCCCTTCCTGGCTCGTCATCTACCATCCTTCAGTTCCAGGTACAGATGGAATTCTCATGGGTCTCCAGTGCCCTTCCTTGTTTATGCAAGGGGAATGACCTATATTTAGGACAGTAGTCCATACTCCATCATCCCAGCAGCTTCCTCACTATAAAGCAATCACATGGCTAATTGTGCTCCCTTTGAAGATGGCTGCCTGTGGGGTGGGAGTATACTTCTTGTTCATTGGTCCCATGGCTTCCCTAGACCAATGCCCTCACAGAGTGGTGCTGCAATGATGCATAGCTTAAAGGGGGAAATAATTTCATTGCATCTGTAATGTTAAACTAGTGGCCACTTACTAACTTAGTGAACATATTTAATTACCAATATTTCTGCTTTGCTTTTTCCTTAAAGGGTGAGATGCTTAGAAGACAGAGGTTGTCTTTGCATTTGAATTAAACCTCCTAGTGTCTATATTGACCTTTGAAAAAAATGTAACTATTTGGGGGTGTGATATTACAAAATATAAAAATGAGAAATGTAATTCAGAAATAATGGGACTCTAATATAGAGACCAAGGCAGATCTAGGATAGATATTGCCAGGAATTCATCCATGGGGCTTCATAGACATTTTTTCTTTTGATAATTGGTAAAGATTTGACCTTGAAGGCTTGATTTTAACTTTTTAATTAAGACATCTTGGTAGTAACAGTTATCTATTATCTCAACATACCTTAGGAATACATAATATTAAAGAAATAGATAAAATGAAAAAGCTGAATAAAATTACGATGCTGATAAAACTAAAATAAGATCTATATATAAGTGATTTCTTTAAATTACAGATCTCATCCTTGCATATACTTTTTAAAAATTTAAGCAATGTCATAGGTCAATATACCCTTAAAAAAATAAAAAGCAACATTTAATGCAAAGTTTCAGGTTGAAAGTGAGACACATTTGGCTATGCCTTATGGACAAGATTTTCCTTAATATAATAATTTATTTAATTTTTGTTTGGTCTGATATGTAATGATGAAATATACTTTCTAAGATTTCTCATGTTGAAAAGAAGATGAGGAATAAGAGAATGGCATGAAAAAGAAAATCAGCATCCCATGGCACTTGGCAATGGGTCCACTCCTGGCTTCAGGTATTTAGTATTCACATATCCTACAAGAAAGTTCTGGGCCCGCACGGTGGCTTATGCCTGTAATCCCAGCAATTTGGGAGGCTGAGGTGGGTCAATCACAAGGTCAGGAGTTTGAGACCAGCCTGGCCAACATAGTGAAACCCTGTCTCTACTAAAAATACAAAAAGTTAGCCAGGCATAGTGGCACGCAGCTGTAGCCCTAGCAAGTCACAAGGCTGAAGCAGGAGAATCACTTGAACCCAGGAGGCAGAGGTTGCAGTGAGCTGACACTGTGCTACTGCACTCCAGACTGGGTGACAGAGTGAGACTCCTTCTCAAAAAAATTTTTAAAAAAAGTTCTAGTAGAAGCAAATAATCTCTTACCTCATCTTCTCCTTTAATTTAGTTTGTACTGATCTTTCATGTGATGAAGCTCTCCATAGAACTGTTTTTATGTTATCATTTCCACATTTTTAGGAAGAGAAAGTAAAATTCTAATGTCAGTATTCTACTCCACAAGGGCTTACTTTACTTTTTAAACTAAAGGGCCCTTAAAATAGGTCTCATGTTAAGTTGATTTTACGCAAAGGGCTTAGAAACAAAACCCCATCTTCTGGGAGGATGTTCAGATCCAAGGGCCAAATGACCTCAAGTCTAGTTTGATGGTGTTGTTTCTACTGTTTTGATAATTACTGGAAAGTTATGAGGTCCTAAAATGTGACCTCTCTCCTCATGATTGTCAGCTATGGTCTCAATGTTTGTGTCCCTCCAAAATTCAGATGTTGAAATGTTCATTCTTAATGGGATTTGTTAGGAGGTGGGGCCTTTGGGAGGTGATGAGGTCATGAGGATGAAGCCCTGTAAATGGGATTTATGACCTTATAAAAGGGACCCCAGAGAGCTCCCTCATCTCTTCCACCATGTGAAGACACAGTGAGAAAGTGCTGTCTGTGAACCAGGAAGCAGGTCCTCACCAGACACTGAATCAGCTATGCCTTGATATTGGACTTTCAGCCTTCAAAACTGTGAGCAATACATTTCTATTGTTTATAAGCCACCCAGCCTATGGCATTTTGTCATAGCAGCCTTTACAGACTAAGATAGCCTGCATAGCAGAAGACAGAGTAGGGCCTGGGCTGGAAGAGGGAGAGTTGGGCATGAGTGAGAATGAGAGTAAGTCACTGATGGGCCAGGACAGAGTAGTACAGACCCATAACCAACCAGAATAAAGCCAGATGTCAAAAGGTGAACAAATGGGATGGAGATGTGAATATGTGCAAAGCAGCATCACAGCCATCAATAAAGTAGAACTGTGTTGCACACCTTCTTAGTGATCTCCCTAAGCTCATCCAGCTCACTGTTCATAGTCAAACAGATAAACTCACACGTACCTCCATGACACATAGACATCTCAGTGTATCTATATGAAGCCAGCCATGGTTTGGACGGTTTTGGACGTTTCTACATGTTCTGTGCTCTGCAGATGAATAACCATCCTGCAGACTGTTGCCTATGAACACAGCCATGTGTTTACTGAGGAGCTGCATTACCAACCTGAGAGTCTTGTTTCCATAGCACCCAGGATCTCCAATGCCAAGGTCGTCAGCCATCACCAGGATGATGTTCGGCCTTGATGCTGCGTGGCTCTCAGCTTCCCACAGAAAGAACAGTAGGAGGAAAGGGATCTTCATCTTCCTGTAAAGGAAAAGGACACAAAAAGGAACTGAAGGATGCTGGCTCATGGTTAGCTGTGACCTTCCTCCTTTCAGACCCCCATCCCTCCTTGCACATTTCTGGTGCAGCCATTCTTAAAACTTGGCTTTGCCATACAATATATGCTAGAAAGACACTTGTCTAAGAGGTTCCTAGACAAAGAATGTTATCCTCTCTTTCCCAAGTGCTTGTTTCCAAGCCACACAGATGTGGTTTGGCTATAACCCTACCCAAATCTCATCCTGAATTCCCACAGGTTGTGGGAAGGACCTGGTGGGAGGTAATTGAATCATAGTTGCAGGTCTTTCCCATGCTGTTCTCGTGATAGTCAATAAGTCTCATGAGATCTGATGGTTGTATAAGAAGAGTTTCCCTGCACAAGCTCTCTTTGCCTGAGGCCATCCATGTAAGACGTGACTTGATCCTCCTTGCTTTCTGCCATAACTGTGAGGCCTCCCAGCCAAGTGGAAATATTAAGTCCATTAAACCTCTTTCTTTTGGAAATTGCCCAGTTTCGGGTATGTCTTTATCAGCAGCATGAAAACGAACTAATACACACACATTTCCTTCTCCATGATTAGTTATGGCCTCTCCTTTCTCCCTTGACCAAAACGGAGGTGCTCTTTAGAAAAATAATAACATAATCACTTCCCATGATCTCTTTATCAAAAGTGGGCTCTGTCATAAGCGAAACCTTCTCTCTTTGAGTGTTAGAAAGACAGTTGTTTTGTGAAGCTCCCATTTTCAATGCTTTATCCTTTCTAAAATTAATGATGAGTTTGGGTTTAGCAGCTATTTTTATTTTTGAGGTAAGGTTTTGCTCTGTTGTCCAGGCTGGGGTGAGGTGGTATGATCTCAGCTCACTGTAACCTTGAAGTCCTGGACTCAAGTGATCCTCCTGCCTCAACCACCCAAATACCTGGGACTATAGTAATGTGCCATCACACCCAGCTAATTTTTGTATTTTTTGTAGAGATAAGGTCTTGCTATGTTGCCCAGGCTGGTCTCTAACTTCTGGGATCAAACATCCTCCTGCCTCAGCCTGGCAAAGTGCTAAGATTACAGGCCTGAACCATAGTGCCTGTTCCAGTTTAGTAGCTTTTTAAGTGAAACATAGAAACCTTTCAAAATTCAAAGTGCACAGGGCCAACGGCCTGGGGCAGCTCTTTGTGATGGAATACAGAGGGAAGAGAATTTATCCACTGTCTATGTCTGCCATCCCAACATGCTTTCACCTCACTGCATTTCATTCCTTGTGAGAATAACAGGTGAAGGCATCTTTGGGGAGAATGGTGGCTTGAACACATACACGATGCCTTTCTTGTATGGAGGTCTGTGTATGTGTTACACCAGCCTGTCTTCCTTTGACTTAGACCCACTCTTGTTGAGGAGGACGTGGGCTTGCTATTTCATTTTGCTGTTTGCCTCTCTTCTCACTCCTGCAGTTTTGCAGCCCCACCCTGCAACAGGTTCTCCATTTGGAACCAGAGCTTATGTTGGCTGCAAATATGAGGAGGCTGGGCAACAAACAGGTTTCCCAGCAGAGAGAGGCCTGGCTTGGTTTCCTGGAAGGTGGCAGCTAAGTGTGCAGTGTGGTAGCCCCAGGTCTTACTTAATCAATATCAATGTCCTTCTAGTCTTCCCACCAGCAGTAGTAGGCAACACCTCTCCCAGCCTCTGGTTCATAGCCCTGAGCCAGGTTCTTACTCTCAAATACTTCCCGAGCCAAGTCTCTGTGGCTCTGACTCTGATGTCAGGAGACAGAACTCATTATTCTCTCTTTCTCTTTCTCATCTGCCCGGGGAGAAATTTTTATACTTTATTTTTCTCATTGACCTGGGGAGAAATTTTATGACCTTTATTTTAGGTCGGGGTTTTGGGTAGGTGTTAATCATATCAGTTCTCTAAATCTTAGTTTTCCTAACTGTAAAGTGAAAGAAATTGAACATTTTTTTTGCTTCATTAAGTAATTTTATTTTTATTAAAAAAATTGAGATAGGGTTCTGGCTCTGTTGCTCAGGTTGTAGTGCAGTGGTGTGATTACAACTCACTGCACCCTCCAACTCCTGGGCTCAAATGATTCTCCCATCTCAGCCTACTGAGCAGCTAGAATTACAGGTGCACAGTGCCATGCCTGGGTAATATTTTATTATTATTATTTTTAAAGATGAGGGTCTTAATATGTTATCCAAGCTAGTCTTGAACTTTTGGGCTCAAATGATCCTCACACGTCAGCCTTCTGAGTAGTTGGGATGATGGTGAGCACCACCTGGCCTGGCTAATTCTTTTTTTTTTTTTTTTTTTTTTTTTTTTCAATTTTTATTGAGGAGATAGGATATTGCTATGTTGCCCAGGCTGGTCTCAAACTCCTGGGCTCAAGTGATCCTCCTGCCTTGGCCTCTCAAAGCACTGGAATTATAGGCATGAGCCACCATGCTCTGCCTAATTTTATTTACTTTTAATTTTTAAAAAATGTTTATAGATTTAGGGGTACAGTGCAGATATCTTACATGCATATGTAGTGGTGGAGTCTGGGCTTTTAGTTTACCTATCTGTTCTCTCCTGACACCTGACTCTCATTGCTGTGTATCTGGAACACTGATGGTCCTTCAGCGTGTGAACTGGCATTGGGCTTGACCTCACTCTGCATCTGCTCTTGCACTCACACCAGCCTTGCTACATGCAAACAGCTCCCCCAGAGTCACTGAGGAAACTGGGCATGAAGGTCAGTGCATAAGGTGTGGCAGAACCTCTTCCCTGGCCTTACAGCAACACTGGTCAGAGTGAGCCGTTCTCTCACTCAGGAATGCACTCCTCTTTGAACACCCTCCCTGAGTTTCCTGTTGTGTTTCTCTTTCTGCAGTCTCTATTTGCTGGGTTTTCCTCATTCATGGACCTCAGAATCAGGATCACAACCCCACATAATTATAGAAGCTGGATAGGAGATGGGAAATGGCCTGGGTTTAGCCATCAATATGGGGAGGGGGCTTTGCAAGCTGAGAGCTTGCACCCCTCCTAAAGAATGTCACCCTTGTAGTAGCTTCCAATTTTTAAAGAGAAGATAGACACACACATTTGTATGTGCAGTTATATGACCATCAATTAAATTATTTAAACAAATGTTGGGCTAACTTCATGCAAAATACTCAAAGAAACAATCAAACAATGACTAAATATATTTACTGGCCTGGTGCCACTTCTGAGTGTCCATTGTCCAGTCTGTACTTTAAATGTTGTGAGCCTCAAGACACTTTCTGCTTTCCTGATCTCCTCCCTACCTTTATGAAAGACACATGTTGTCTTGGTGAGATTAAATACTGAATGAATGCTTAGAAACAGCTAAGTTTTATGTCCAGAGAGACTACATCGAAGCACTGAATTAACGTCTCCATACAGACATCTATCTGGTATCTTGAATCTAACATGTTCAAACAGAGATCATGAATGCAAAAAGCACCCTGCTACTATTATGTGAAACCATTTTTCTCATTTAATCTAAAGGTCCCCACTTTTGTTTAATCTGCTTAAATGCTAAATACAGATAAAGCTGATGAAAAGTAACTTCTTACTGAATTTCTCACGTAAGACTGCATGAAATAATACAGTTATACAATGCCCTCATTCCAAAGACCTTGTCTATCTTAATGCTTAAGCTAATATTTATGCTTGGAAAGAAATGAGAAACTGCCTATTTCTTTCCTTTTTATTTTAAAGGATGGTTTAAGACCATTGGCTTTACATAACCAAAACCTGGCATGAATTTAAAGCCTGGCTTGAGAGCCTATCACAACATTCAAATAACATAATTTCAGTTCAAAAAGGTCTTGTGAATCAAACATCTCAATTCTCTTATTTTCACATAGGGAAACAAAGACCCAGAGAGACTGGCTGGTCATGGTGGCTCACACCTATAATCCCAGTGATTTACGAGGCCAAGGAGGGAGGACTGATGGAATGCAGGAGTTTGAGACCAGCCTGGGAAATATGTAAGTTCCTATCTCTACAAAAAAATTAAAAAATTATCTGAGCATTGTGCGCACATCTGTAGTTCTGGCTACTCAGGAGGCTGAGACAGGATAATCGCTTGAGCCCAGCAGTGAGCTCTGATGGCGTCACTATACTTCAATTTGGTTAACAGAGTGAGACTCTCTCTAATTAATTAATGAATTAAAGAATGCAGACTTTATACACCAAAATCTGCCATAAATGTAAAGCCTGGCTTGAGATCATATAACAACATTCAGATAATAATCAGGTAATACAATATTGGTTAGAAAAGACCATGCAAATCATGTATCCCAAGTCTCTTACTTTCAGAAGGGAAAACAAAGAGCCAGAGAGATTCAACGAATTGCCCTAGTCATACTCATAGCAAGCTGTGGTTTTCAGACTAGCACCCAGGACTCCTTATGGCTCTTCTCTCTCAGATTATCCCTGGAACCCAGTATTTCTAGGGCTTTTCAGCATTCCACATGGTGGAGACTTCAGTGCTTTACAAATTCCTCCCAGCAGTTCCCTTGGCTACTGAACAATGCCTGTCATTTCCCAGGGCTCTATAGTGATGCCCCCTATTCCTGCTGATAGAAACAGGTCCTATCTAAAGGACCTCAAAGCTGCTGCCAACCCAGTCGGAGTCCCACCACTGGTGGCTGATTATGAGAATAGTGAGCACTGATTCATGGGCTCTGGGGCTCAACATTGCTAAAGGCCCTACTGCTGCCTGCTGCCTGGCTCCTGCACTGGTCACTCCTGAAGCTGCCAGCTATATGCTGTGATGCCCCAAGCTCCTAATATTCCATGTAGATTTCAGTAAATGCACACTTCACTTTTTTCTCCCTTGGATTAACCTACTACTGCTTGGTACCTGAGGTTTAGGTAGACTTCCCTATTGAGTAATGAATGGACATGGGTCTGAATGTCAACCCATTTCTCTAATGCAGGCTCCCTGGCTGTGGCCCATACTGCTTCTCGGCCTGAACTTG